TTTTGGGTATGTGAAAACACTTAAAATTCAAATAAGGTTTACTTGTGGTTTCTGCTTTTTTCCCCTAATGTGTGTCTTGGCTGCTGCTCTTCATCCCCAGTGATGTCTGTTTTGTAGATGTTGTATTAAAGCAGTGAAAACAGACACACCCGTTCATCATCAGCGACGCGTCCCTGTTGTCATGACATTAGATGTATGAGTTGTCGGACCCTCATATATTGTCATTGCCTTATTTTCCATGTTTTGGTGATGGTCTTTCTGTCTGAACAAATCCCAACCCCTGATCGTTACTCATGATGATGCAGTTAGTTCCTTTTTCTGTTTGTCGTGACATCGTGGTAGTCCACACACACACCCACGCCCACAAATAAAGAAGACACACAATCATCCATGACAGCATATTTACATCTTCGTCGAGACGCTTTTCTCATTTTGGCTGATTTACGGGGGCTCTGATTATACTCTGTTTACTGGCACTCATAAACACAATGACAACCTGGCAGCATTTAAACCTCTGAAATACTGTCATTATTTCTTAATCTAGCGAGAGGAGACGAGGCAATCCTCATTGCTGAATCTTGGTTATCTGCCCCGACCGCAGCCACACCAGTGTGTCATCTGCTGGGCAGACATGGAAAAAAACAACACAGAAAAAGAACTGCAATGGACGAGAGAGTAAATTTTGGACAGTAGCTCAGTATCTGCCTAGCTGTGTCACTGTTTGTATATTGAAATTAATCGTGCAAGAGCTAATTATTCAATACATATTTAAGTGATGAGAGTGTTGTGAGAGAGGACTTTAAATTTACTATGCGCCGTATGATGTCTTTGGCTGACTGTTTGGAATGGACAGTTTGGTCCTTTGGAGCATTAGACTTATTCACCATCTGTAGAGACAGAGAAAAAGACTGAGAGGAGTAATATAAACGTTATGTTGGCAGAAGGTAGGCCAGTGGAATGCCAAGGCATCTTTAACCTCATTTACAGACCCTTCTTGATGTTACAAAAAGCACAGCTCATTAGAGAAATATGTTAAACATCAATTTGGAAGCCCAAAAGCAAGACTGTGGCTTGGGTTGGTGTCAAATCAAAGTGACAGTGCCATAGATCACCTGAAGCAGTCATCATTTCTCCTTTGGCTGGAAGCAAAAACACTTGGGTAAAAGTATCTCATGCATGCAGTCACATATTTTCACATTCAATAATTTAAATGTGCCTTTACATCCAGAAAACATAGTGACACTGACGTCGCTTAACTGTGATACACTTTATGTTTAGTGCAGTGCTATGACTCATCTGTGTTGACAGTAACTCCTGACTCATCCCCAGACCTTGTCGGTCTGGCAGAGGCATCAGAGAGGCTGCATAATGACATGATGATGTGTTCTCATCCTGACCTGTACTGCGGTTGCACAGGTCAGCGGCAAGCAGATTGTCAAGTCTTACAGAGCCACTCTGGTTCTCATCTGGTGCTTAAGACAAAACCAGCTTAGTTCATTTCCTTACTTAAACAACTGAGTTTAGAATTTTGTGTTTGTGTGTCCAATTCTCAGTCTTCATTCAGTGGTAGAATTATCTCTGCATTCCTGTCAAAGTAAACTCGTTTCATCCACACAGTGATATACAGCTTTTTCATATCGCTTTCTTAAAAGTCTTCTTTTATTAGTTAAACCCAGTTGCTTTATTAGCTGTTAAATAATTAGATGGTACTCCATGGCTCAGTTATTTAATGAATTATTTGATGCTCACTTTGGATCAAACCACCACCGACAAATCTGAAACATAAAACTCATATAAATCATGTTAGTGTGTGTTTATTTGTCTGCCTAATTCAGCCCAGCCCTTGGTTTGTGTAACGTGGCCTGCCTTGTTTATTGTCATATGTTGCTAACAACAGCACCAGATGGTAATGATGATCTAGTCAACCACTCTCCTCCCCAGCCATCTTAACAGGTGTAACCTTATTCCCTCTCTAATTTGTCAGCCCCTGCGTATTTTCACCAAGTTTTATTAAAGTTTGTCATGTTTTTTTTCTGTTTTTATTCTCTGTCCATTACCCTGTGGCGATGTTTTTGGACTTCCAGAACAATGCCAGAAACCATCAGACATCTTAGATTTCTTTCCCCTTTGTCGCTCCATGAACCCCACCCCCCCATCAGCATAGCCCAAAAGCAACAGCAAACTCTTGGGACAGGGGTTTCAGTAGCAAAACAGTGAAGTAAAAAAACAAACAAACAAAAAAAAACTCAGAAGAATGAGAAAATAATGAAATATCCTTTGTGATTTTTTTTGGCACTTTTTTTTAATGTTTTAAGATCAGGGATTGGGAAAGAGAGTTTTGGTGTGCAGTGGTGTAGTTCCAGATTATGGGGTCCAGGGTACTTCAGGGCAGGGAAGGTCTCTGAGGTGAGGGTGGCTTGGGTCAGCTTTGCATCCACACCGTCTGCACATGCTAGACGCCTTGGAAAAACTGTTTTGTTTGTCCTGAAAGCAGCATCTGGACAGTGGCTGCTTCACATGTGCTGGAAAGACTTAAAGCTGCGGATGGAAAGACTAACAACATGCAGACAGACATTTTCTTCTGTATGCTGTTTGTCTTTGATGCTGCTGTGATTGACCTTTTTTTCTGCTGTGACCAAACAGTCTATATATCGGGCACTGCAGCAGTAAACACTGAGTCAATATATCTCGAGGGAACAAAAACAACACATGAAAACAATAAAACAGGCCTGTAATTACACTACTGTGATTATGGAGAATGGTGCATATTTTTAATCAGGACCAAGCTGCTTTGGAGCTCTGGTAACAATCAAGAATAAACTGATAGAGTGCGGACAGAATGTCTTCGCACTCCTCATGTATCTACCTGATATTCACAATTAAGTCTAAAAACAACTGAGAAATGGCTTATAAAGAGAATAATAAATAGGTGGTGAAAAAGAGTTCAGTAATATACTGTAAATGGTTTTGTTGTTTTGGCCTGGTCGGTCTGGAGTACCTGTTGTTACAGTCGCTGCAGAAAGAGGGGAATGAGTGAGGATGAGAGACCAGAGGAATACCAATAAAGAAAAAGCGACTTGCTGATATGGACCAAGAACAAGGTGATAGGACAGCAGGGCATTGCGGCCAGACAAAAATGTGAAGATGTTGATGGAATGCTCTGGCACACTAAAACCTAAAATCTCATCCTGTGGTTTGTTCGTCAGGGTTATCATGTCCTCATCTCGCTCTCACACATTCACAAACATTCCTCACTTCTGTCTAAGAACTATCAACAGAAGGCAACTGTGGAGAGGGAAGACTGTCTCTCTGTGGAATACCTGTTACAAAACAAATGGGAAAATGACAGGCAATTTCATAATCAGGCCCACATTAGCTTGGGACCTTGTAAACACAGTGCTGTCAGCATGGGTCACGCTACGTTGGAATATTTTTGGAAAACAAGGGCGGAACAGAGCGAGGCATTGTGAATAATTAGATCTTTATGGCAGCTGGCAAAAGCCTGGACCCTGAATCCGGATCGTCGGAATTTCTGTGGAGGGTGTTGGCAAGATTAGAGGTGATAAAACAGAATGGTGAAATCTTGTGTGTGCTTTCTCCAATGCTGGAGGAGTTCTGGCTCTCGATCTCTGTGCATGTCCGCGATGATGCTAAAGCCCAAATACAATGTTCTTGTGGAACCTTTTCTAGCACCTTCTAACAACTGTGGGAATAAAATCCTAGTGAAAATGAACGGTGTAGTTTTTTTTTTTATTAGAGAGAAGGCTCAAGTCAAGTGCATTTAAAAGCACATTTAAAAACAACATCAGCTGACCAAAGTGCTGCACAGAGAATAACACTAGCAAAAGACAAAAAATAACATGTAGAACACATAACAGTAGGGTAAAAGAAAAAACTAAATAAAACATACATACAAGCGTCTCAGTTTGAATTAAATGAGTTAAATGCTGTCAGTGTTGGTGCAGCTCTAATACAGGAACACCGACTGAGGAAGGCAGCTCAGGTTTAAACATTAGCTTTATTAGAAAATGTTGCATTATGGATGCAGGAGACCGGGCGTCCCTGGGCACTGTTCTCGTGGTGGGACGTCTGGGAATGTGGTGATGGATGAACTCTTCACCTTACAACTGAATGAAACTTTGAGAGTTCACCCTCTTTTGAGCATTCTTAAGTCTGCAAGTCATCTATACCTGACCAAGAATGAACTTCCTAAAGGCTGTGAGCCTTTAGGCCCTTAGCTGTGTGTTTAGGTAACTTAAAGAAAGGGTCTGGAGGGTGCACGGCTAGGAAATTCAAATTCTCAGTTTTCCTTTAATGCCTCATGAAACGCCAAGCCTGTGTCATCATATTCACTGCTGGGCAAAACGTACCTAAAGCTTGACCTAAGACAGAAAACAGGCACAGTACAAACAAGTGAAAGCACACATACATTCCGACATGCACATGGTTTTTCTCTCTCAGCATGCTGAAATAAACACACTTGGGTGTAATGAAGAGAAGTTTGGTTTTATAGTTTAATGAATTTGGTGTTCCCTGCTAATGTTTTACATATGAGATAGATATTGTTCCCATTTGAAGTGAAAAAAGAAGGTAGGTATCTGGCTTTTTCTCTCCGACTCACTTGCTGCCTTTCATTCCTACTCAGATCTTTAAACACAGTCATTTTCCTCAGACAGCTCAATGTTGTTGGCTGGGGGCCCATTTGTTTTTGAACAAAATATTCAATAATGGAGTTTATGAGTCATAAGAAACATTCTTTAACTTGAGCATATTAGTGGCCTTGTTTCTGGATGGTTTCTTTTGGAAGGTTCTTTTTTTTGTCCAGCATCCGAAAATAGAGAGAAAACAGAACATGTTTGCACACAGCATGGCGTATACATAGTATAGGTCCCCTACACAAAAGCATGAACCATACACCTTATGAGCTAGATTTCAATAAACACTCACTGACAAAAGAGAACTCAAATTAACCTTCATTTTTTTCCTTCTTGTGCATTCAGATACCACAGACTATGGATCAAGTAAATGTGACAAGTGAGTGGACTTTCCCCTACCCTGCAGCCCAGATCATATCATATCTTTTCATTGATTACAAGCTGAACTTGACCTCTATCCCCCTGCTCTCTCTCTCTCTCTCTTTTGCATGCATGTTCCTCTGATCATCAGTGGTAGCAGCGGTGTTGGAGCTGCACAGAAGGAGAAGGAAAAGGTGAAGGGCAAAGATGAGACATACTGGAAGGAGATCAATGCTGCCATGGCTTTGACTAACTTGGCGCAGGGGAAGGACACTGTGTCAGGGACCACCAGCTGCATCATTCAGAAGTCCTCCCATATATCAGAGATCAAGACCGTTAAAGTGCCGCTAGTGCAGAAATATTAGCAATATTAACATCATCCTCCTGTCTCTCTTTGCAAACCAGCAATCATTCCTTTTTTAAGCAAACTCACCAGAGTCCGTATAAACTTCAACGAAACAAAAAAGGACTGTTGTATAAGGAATCAGGGTGTTTGATGCAAAGTTGTGTGGAACTTGAAAAGAATCATCTTTTTGGTTGGTGTTTTAAAAAAGTGCAAAAGAGGCCCATCAATTCTTTGCTGGGTTAATGTGTGACAGACAAGAGTCTATCATATGTCCCTAAAAGATCTTTTTGCCAAAGTGCCTTCATTGTTTAGACAAATAACTCCTCAATTGTGGTCAATGCAAAGTACAGATACTGAGGTGCCTCTTTGGAATTTGTGAAGGAATATTTTAATAACTTTAGAGTCACATCCCGTGCCTTATGGACTGAATGAGATCACTGGCCGATGCGCAGATGAACTCGAATAGCACACACAGATGCATGCTCTCAGAAAATGCCTAGCATTGATTCTCTGAAGGCATCACTCGTGTTTAGACTGGAGTCTTCATTTGGACTGTAAACTGAAAACTGTTGTGTCTCAGCCAGCTTCTCATTTCTGGCAGGCCAACACTAACTGCAGGATATGTAGATCACTCTAACAGCAGTTTGATAAGCAGCCAACATTCTCCACCTTGTCCACATCTTGGCCTTGGGTTTGGTTAATCAGCGAAGGACTCCTTTCTTATCATAGCTTTTATTTGCTGAAACATGCACAATGCTCAGCTGGACTTAAATGAAGTCACGTTCAACGCACACACATGTGCGGAGTGACTCAGTTCTACAGCCACAGGCATGCTGTAAGTGTTCAGTACTGTATTTGTTCTAACAGAAGGATGCCATGACCTAAAAGGGATGTTTTTGCTTCATGTTATCAATGTTTTACATGGACAGTGTTGCTTTTTCACATTTGTGCTCAGAACACAATAGTCTGGCATGAATGAAAAAAAAGCGATGCCATCACCAGCTCTGCCAGCCATCTCAGCTGTTTAGCATTACATTCAAATTGTTGTTTACAAGAAGCCAGAGGATAGACTTAAAAGTCTGACTTTCTCTTGCTTTTTTTGTTTGTCTTAAAAAGAAAACATTTCAGTATTATCTCTTTGGTGTCCTAGCAAGTGTTTAAAGTATGTGTTACTGTCAGCTTTTATATATGTGGTCATTTTGTTTTTGATCAAAACTTTGTACTTGGTTTCACTTAACCATACCACATTAAACTCTTCTGTTGTCATCCAGTGAAAAGAATCTTTTATAGAAAGTACTAATGTATGGTGCATATAGTGTAAATGTTTGTAGCAACTGATGATGAAGCTCACAAACCGGGAGAAATGCAGGAGAAACTAAAGTTGACTCTTTTCCGATTTTTCACTTGATGTATATCTTTAAGGTACTGTTTATGTGTGTCACAATCTTCACTCTTTTATGAATTGTGCAGTTTTTATTTGTTAGTTTGTTTTTTTCTTTTACAACCCAGACTGAAAAGTCAAGGACTTTTGGGCAGGACTAAAGCTGCACAAAATTCTTTTTTGACCTTGAATGTGCAAATTGTTGAAGAGCTGCATTTAAAATTCTTGGCTTTCAATCAGATTTAAACCAAGAACCTTAAAAATACACACAAAGCCTTCACTGAGAACTTATAGATGGATGTGATTTTATATACATGTAAATGTGATGAGACATAAGGGAAAGGAAGGAAAAACCCATAAAATTCCTATTAGCGTGCCTATGGAAGTATAATGAAATTAATCGGGGCTGCTCTTTGTGTTTCTAATTGCACCCCTGAACCTCTGGACCACTCGCGACCACACACCTCACATGATAGTTGCATTCTGAGAAGACACAACAAGAGATGGTGGCTTCAGAGACAACAAAGCAACCTCTGTTGTTCATTCCTCAACAATGGCACTATGAGTACTAATGAAAGTGTGTCTACAGCCAAGACTTTGGCACTGTACAAGTGTTTCTTCAGCACAAACATTGCTTTCACAACCATGTTGACAAATAGAAGGTAACAGTATGTATTACAGCCTTTAAATTATTATTACACACTTTGTAAAAACAAAGAAGGTGGTGACCATAGTCACTTTTTTATTGTTAAGTTATATAAATTTCGAATATCTTTTGTTTGTTTATTTTGATAGAGACCGGATTTTCAATCCAATGACCAAATGCATATGTCCTTGTATTGTTTCTCTCATGTAAAGTTTTTTTTTTTTTAAATAATTGTTACTTGGTCAAAGCAATGAATAAACCTCTGAATGAAATGAAATCCATCATGCATTTGCTCATTTGTTAATGATCACCTTCATAAGCATTTGCCGTTTTATATATTTGCTTTAACTGATTTTTTGTGGTTATGTGGGGTCAACAAAAGAAGCTGTGCACTGAATTAATGTTTTCCTTTAAAATGCAATTGTGCTAGTAAAATGTGGCATTTTTCATTTAACCACTAGATATCAGCATTAGTTGTTTGTCTTTACTTAACTAATGTTTTTATTCTTCTTCTTGCTTGTTTCAGTTGGACAGTGCATTTTTTTCCTGTTCCTTCCAGCTTTTTTACAAATTACAGCACAAAACATATTGAGGGGGTTAAACAAGCAAATACACTAATAATATAATAAGAAAGATAGTAGTAGAGTGCTCAAACTGAACCACCAGCACTGAAGCAAGAATGAGATTGGGCCACCACTGGAGAGTCCCAGAGCAGAGCAGGGTAAAGTCAGTGTTATTGTTTTAGGGGCATTACCTTAAGCCTTTCCCATGTTTTATTGTTAACTAATGTTAAGTACAACATTCATTATTTTTGCTATGTTTTTGTCCCCAAAATATCCTGCTCTGGAGCTACTAAATGCTCCACCAAGGTTACTAGCTAGTCACTAACTTTATCTGCTGTTTATTAATGGGCAGCTTTATTAGAGCTTTTCTTCCTGGAAACAGCTGCTTGATGAAATTGGGATGAAATTTATGAGCTGCATATCATTAAATCCAGCCACAGGGGTTGTAAGCCAGTGACTTCTGTGCCGGTCCCAAGCCCGGATAAATAGAGAGGGTTGCATCAGGAAGGGCATCTGGTGTAAAAACATGCCAAATTTAAACATGTGAATCATCAGTGCGATTT